GTACCGGAAAGGGGTGTGGATGCACACGGCAACGACGCGTGCTAACGTTGTTGGTTCGGTTGTCTGTGGTAGGTTGTCTTGTTCCACTTCATCCAGGTTGGACCGTGCATGACCAAGATGCTTGCTTCCTTGAAACGTAATACTTCGAAGTAGCTGCCAAATATCGCCTTACATTGCATTAATCGCTCTTTGCCAAGGAAGACCTATGAGGTCTTGCAGTACGCCCCTTCCGCCGGCCCTATCGTTGTGGAAGCTTGTTTCCTGATCGCCCCCTTGTTCCGTTGTTGTTTCGACGCTTCACCGCCGCGTAAATTTGAAAGAAATGCTCCAAGTACTGCGAGAGCGAGCCCTTCTTCGGGATGCAATACGGTTCTGAGGTGAGTGGCTTTGGACTATTGCGAGCAACTACAGTAAGCTGTTCATCTCATTCGAACGCGTCGAATAGAGGCCATTGGAAACTTGTGGGCCAATATGGAGCGTTGCAGGGTTTCCGATGACGTCGCTTACCCTGCTTGTTCACTCGGCTCGAACACAATCCTCTGGTTTGTGTCATCAATGCATTGGGGCAGTGTTGACTCATTAGACTATTTATTAGAACCTACATCAACCCGCAATGTCCCTCAGGGCGCCTCGTGGCTAGCCCCGCGTAGGCAACTGCTGCAGTATTATTCATGGTGAACAATATGACAATGAGGGGGGACAGTATTGGGTCTCGACCGCTGCTTTGCGGCGCCGCCCTTTGAATCACCATTCGCTCGACGTGACAGTTGTAGCCGATCAGCGATTCGTTACCTCTACACCAGCTCATGAAACGTATCACCCCACTCTGCTCCGTTCGTCATAGCACCCCACGCTCTCCTCTTGAGGACGCGTGGTCTCGTCGCTACAACGGATGTAAAACATGAGTACGCCCCCCCTTCCGGCCCAACGCTCTCCTCGAACCCCAACAGTGCTGGTGCGGCACCGGCGCCGGCGAGGACGTCGAGGACATGTTCCGTCACGGCTCGGCCACCTGCAACATGGCGTGCTCCGGAGACAAGGACAAGACCTGCGGAGGCTCGTGGGCCATGTCGCTGTACCAGCACGGCAGCGCCAGCCCCGGAGACATCCCGGAGGGAACCAGGTACCTCGGCTGCTTCAAGGACAACCGGTTCAACCGGGCGCTCTCCAGCAAGCAGACGTCGAGCAACGACATGACGCTTGAGGTAGGTCACCGTTCACACGCCAACGGCATCATTGTTGCCCTGCGAAACGACGCTTAGAAATAAGCTTCAAACATTTTACACGCCAGGGGCGTCATGTTGCGCGAAATGACGCCGAGCGAGAAGCTTTGAAGCTTCAGGTCGAATGCGGTCGCATCCCATGCTTTCTTCGTCATGAACTCCCCGTATGTCCTTGTGTTCGGCTTTTTGCGATGCGTGCTTCATGGGACCCAACCGTAACAACCCTGTAACCCTGAGCCTTCCACCCGCGGGGCCTACACATGTTGATTTCCTCAAAAGAGTACCGGAGTTCTTTATATCATGAACACCGGTAGTCTCTTCGCCGCCGAATGAAGCCATCAGCATGTCCTTACATTCTCTTGCAATTATTCTCAACCCACGATTGATCCCCCTCCTGACCAATGGCCTAACCGCTACGGCATGCGAAACATGAGTACGCCCCCCCCCCTATCCT